AATTAGACTGTGTACTGATTACTCAGGATTTCATGATCGCCTTTGCTTTGAATTGTCTATCTCTTCTTTATGATGCACGTGAAAGGAAGATCGAGAGAAGAAAAGGGAATTAACTTGGAAAAAAAGGCTTGTAATAATCATAGGAGCAGCCGAAGGTCTGGAATACCTTCATAAAGATTGCCAGATCCAAATCATTCATAGAGACATCAAAGCAAGTAACATCTTGATAGACATGAAATATAGACCCAAAATCCCAGATTTTGGCCTCGCGAGGTTGAATTCAAACGATAAAGCTATTTCCAGTTCTGCCATTGCTGGCACATTGTAAGTATTTATGCAATCAACTTCGTGTATTTCTTATCCTTGAGGAAATTCAGAGCCTATTGTCTCCTTGATAGGAAAAGCTCGTGTTTATTTTTCACTAAATAATGTTTGAATTGCAGTGGATACATGGCTCCTGAATACCTTGCTCAAGGGCGATTGACTGATAAAGTAGATGTTTATAGTTATGGCATTCTTGTACTTGAAATTATCAGTGGGGTGCAGAATAACAAATTTCAGTCCGAGGATTCTCTGGACACACTAGTCACAATTTGTACATCTCTTATTATATACTTCTCTCCTCGATTTTTACCATTTGAAACAAGTTTGGTTAATATAATTTGATCCTTTTTTTCCTTCAACTTGCAGATACGGAAGCATTTTAAAAGAAATACAGTTACTCAAATAATAGATTCAAGCACAGAAAATGAAAATGCTAATGAAGTCCTAAGAGTGTTTCAGATTGCTTTGCTGTGTACCCGAGACCCATAAAATTTTAAAGGCACATCCCACTCTTTCAAAATCCACAATTATTCAATTATAATCATTCTAATTAAATTAATTGTGTGGTTACCAAAATTGGTCACGAATTTCTCCTATAAATAGGGCCAAAGGTCATAAGAAGGGGGAGGTGAAAGTGAAGAAGAAAATCACAAGGTGTTGAAGAAATCCCAAAATTGAAGGAAGATAAGAAATCTTTTCAATTTCAAGTATGGCGAATACGAAGAAAATCAAAATTTTTATTCAAATCAAGCAAAGATCAAATTTTTTTTTGAATTAAATCAAGATCAAACCCAAG